CAGTGTTCATATCAGTGCAGTTTGTACGGCGGGGGGGGGGGGATGGCAATGACATACGTTTTAAAAGTTTGATTTGTTGAATGTGATGCTGTGCGCATGCACGCACAATCAGCACGCGCTATGCGTGCGTCCTTTTCCTACGCTGCTGTGTGTGTGCGTGAGTTTGCCCGCCGCACGCTTCTCAGAGCAGTCGAATGGCTCGCAACTAGAACAGAGGCTCTCTTAATGGATCGGCTTTGTCCAGCTCGTTATATTCGTGACCAATGTCATCCATAATACAGGTTTTTTTTGGGTTAGATCGCGTAAATTTATGCGATCTAACCCAAACAAAACCCCTGCATTATTGATATATTCTTCTTGGTATATAGTGACTCCTCTACTTACGAACAGTCGAATTACAAACATTTAGAGATACGACCAAATCTGTCCGTATCTCCAATTGCCTGTCCGAACCGAGAGTCGTTAGCTCAACCGCCGCGCAATAGATGGCGGTGGTGGCATCTCCACCTGTAGAGCACGAAGAACCAGTGGCATCTACTGTACATCTGTAGAACGTGAAGAACCAGTGGCATCTAAGTGTGCAGAACACGAAGAACCAGTGGCATCTACATCTGCAGAACATGAATAACCAGTGGCATCTACATCTGCAGAACATGAAGCACCAGCGGCATCTACATCTGTAGAATATGAATAACACGTGGCATCTACATCTACAGGAGATGATACAACTATTAAAGCCATTCCCCGTGTTTAGTGTACGTGCCGTAAAACATGTTTTGGAATCGACAGGAGTAAAGTTAGACTTACGAACAAATCGACTGACAAACAGAGACCTCTGGGAACCTAACTTGTTTATAAGTAGAGGAGTCCACGTATTAATTTGCGCATGTGAGTTCAACTGCAGGCATCGTCACTCACTTGTCAACGACCGTATTGAAATGCACTCTGCAAGAGAAGACGATTTGGAGGCTGGGAGTTGCCGTATATAGGGAAAGGCAATGCCCTTTTCCAATCCACTATGCAGTGTACTAACCCCAGAACCACCGCTCGACCCACAGAGTGTAAACCAGGTGAGATAGCGATGCTCATTTCCCACTGGCACATTTTATTTTAGCGACCTGGCCACAAATGATAGCCCAATGAAGTGGCTTATGTGGACATTTATAGTAGTAGCCAAATACTCTAAACGCATGTTTATAAATGTAGAGGGAAAAAAAAACAGAGATCCCGGAGAAAAATCCACACGAACCACGGGGAAAGCATGCAAACTCCAAATATACAGCAGGCATCGGGGTTGGGATCGAGCTCCACGACCTCCTGTATGCCAGGCGAGGTCGTTAACATCTTACCACCGTGACAGCCCCGAGCCGAGCCCACGGTATGGGCGATTTTCCTACTGGCAGGTTGCCATGCCGAGCCGTGACAAAACTATGGTACACTGGATTCATGGGCAGACCGCAATAAAGTTCAACACAACACCGGCAGCAGATGTCGGTACAAAAAAATGTGGCGCCAGCCGAACTCAGATGCCAATTGCCGAACTATGCTGGTCAAACTACCATAGGCTTAGCCCATATCTACAATATAAAGCTTCTGTTTTCCTTTTATAAAGATGTATTAAAAAAAAATGGTGTATATGTAACGATTTTATTTAAAAAAACAAAAACCGTGAGGTCCGCCATTACGCATCGCTCAGAATATATCTAAGAAAATGTAGGCTCCCTTATTGGACTGGCCTGCCAGTTGGTGATTGTTTTACAGCGGCTATGTATTTGTAAGGAGAAGGCTGCCGCATGGCTGTGTGACGACGCGGGGCTGACGTCCACTCACAACACAACGTCGACATCTCGTTACTTATTCCCCTTGTGCATCTTGCTGCTCTGAATAAAGAGCGGCGGCTGCAAACTGTCGAGCGATGGGCGCCCCCCTCCGAGTCGCATCAGTGGCACAGCAGGCGTGAGCCAGCCACACCATGGGGTAATGACTCCAAACAATGGGATAACCACCTCGAGTGGCACATTCTAAACAATGACATTTTTTGGTGTCAATAACCATTATTATCTCAAGATCACAATTGCCGTACGATAGGCGTTGTTTTGTTATCAAGTACTAGGTCTGTTATCGTTAACCTGCAGGACTGTGTATTAACGTATTGGCAGTGCACCGGTTTTTAAAAAAAAAGCGCCAAATTTTTACAAAATTGTTTTTATTTTCCTTCCCGCGTGGTGCGTCAAAATCGGTTATCGTGATGTCAAAGTAGTCGGAAGGTGAACGTTACGGGCAGCTGAACGCGAAGCTTCACAGTCTGTTGCCATATCGCAGCACCCAGCCTGATGACGATTGGCTGCTCCGTGTTCCAAATGCTGATTTGACTCGTGCCCAAGGCTTATGAGGACCGGTGTGTTCTGCTGCACCGGTGTACCGTCAATACGTCCATGTTGTAACAGTTCAACATGATGCCACCAGATCTTAGGGGCCGTCCATAAATGACGTTACGCGATTTTTGACGATTTTTGACCCCACCCCCCCTCGTCACACGGCGTCACAAAAATCAGACCACCCCCCCTCAAATGATGCTACAAAGCTCTGCCCCCCACAAAAAATAAACCATGCTTCAAATCGCTTTAAACTATTGTCATTGTAGTGCGCATTTAATGTGGCGCTGCACTCTGATGTTGTAGGAGAAATTTTTTATTAAAAAGTCTATTTAATTAAGTAGAACGTGTTTGTCTATATTTATTTATAGTTGCGCATTTTGATGTCACAAATGTCTGACCCCCCCCCTCCCCCCTAGGTGCGTGACGTCATTTATGGACGGCCCCTTAGTAGAACCCAACCCCTGCCACCGGCACAACGGATGCCAATTCCCGGACTGTTCGTCCGGGTTAAACCCGGTTGCCACTTGTCTGTAACCTGTCCGGGTGGAATTCGGGCAGGTGGCAACCCCAGTTTATTTGTATGTGCTTGTGCGCTCGCTCGTATGCACCCCTCCAGTTTAAGGTGGGCGTAACGTCTCTAAATCTGTCTTAAAATGCTGCTTGCACGTGCTCTCAAATGTCAATGGGTAGAGCGACTTTCCGCACAGTTTATATCTGTACTGAGAGTCGCAATTACCTTATTCTCAGGATTATTAAACCATAAAAAATAACTTGTCAACAGAAAAAAAACACTTTCAAAATGTTATTGAGAATCTTTCAGAATCACAATCTTTATTTATACCGGAGGAATCCAATGAGCTATAAAGCTCTTTTTCACAGATGTCCAGTAATTATCGTTAGGCCTCATGGTGTAAAGTGCAGCTTCCGATTGTTAGTATCCACTCTGCCCGCCCTTTATTTATGAGATGTAAAGAAGGCCACTACGTTGAGTTTTTGCTGATTGAGTGTCGTGAACGTAGTCCAGGCCTATTATAATGGGCTGCTCACAAAATCGAAGTGTTTATATATGTCTGGTCAGGAGGTTGATTTGTTTCACTGATCGGCCAGAGATGGCTGAATTGTCCTCGCTGCGTGAAGTATCACGTTCAACATAAATATATCATCACCTGTGAACCAAGTAATTTGCCTTCCAGATAGTTTATTCAGTTTTATTCAGTTTATTTATTTGGTATAGCCCTGTGAGCCATTCGCCTCTTGAATTGGGTGCAACAACAACAAACAAAAACACCAAAACACGAACAAGAAAACATCTTAAAGTGACTATGTGACTGTGCAAACAGAAAATCCATGAAAAAAACTGGAAAATATTCCTGAAAAAGGTTGACTGACGGACGCTAAAGCCGATAAAGAGCAGCATAGCGCGCTCCCGGTTCCATTACTCGTGTTTGATACTCAGGGGTCGTCCATAAATGACGTCACGCACCTAGGGGGGGTCAGACATTTGTGACGATGTGTGACGAGGGGGGGGGGGTTGAGAAATGTGACGTCACATCAAAATGCGCAACTTTAAATAAATATAGACAACACGTTCTACTTAATTAAATAGACTTTTTAATAAATGTTTCTCCTACAACATCAGAGTGCAGCGGCACATTAAATACGCACTACAATCAAAATAGTTTAAAGCGATTTGAAGCGTGTTTTATTTGTTATTTGGGGGGGGGGGGGGGGGCAGAGCTTTATGACGTCATATTTGTGTGGGGTCTGACTTTTTGTGACGCCGCGTGACGAGGGGGGGGGGGTCAAAAATCGTCCAAAATCGCGTGACGTCATTTATGGACGGCCCCTCACCGGTGCTTAGGAGAGCCGCACGGAGTCTCTGCTACTTCCACTACTGCTACTGCTACTCGTTTGCCTGAAACTTCTGCTGCTGCTGCTACTGCCGCCGCTGCGGTTACAGCGACTGCTGCTACTGCTGCTGCTTCCATTACAGATAATGTTGCTACTATTGCAGCTAATGCTACTGCTGCTAGTACAGATAATGATGCTATTGCTGGGTGCCATTACAGCTAAGTCTGCTTGCTCCAATTACAGCGAATGCTGTTGCTGCTATTATAGCTAATGCTGATGCTATTGCAGCTAGTGCCTGTTGATGTTGCAAGCACAGCTTCTGATATTGCAGCTAGTGCTGTTGCTGCTATTGCTGCTTTCACAGCTGCTACCATTGCAGCTCGTGCTGTTGCTGCTATTGCTGCTGCTATTGCAGCTGCTGCTATTGCAGTTCGTGCTGTTGCTGCTATTGCTGCTTTCACAGCTGCTACCATTGCAGTTCGTGCTGTTGCTGCTATTGCTGCTGTTATTGCAGTTCGTGCTGTTGCTGCTATTGCTACTATCACAGCTTCTGCTATTGCAGCTCGTGCTGTCGCTGCTATTGCTGCTGCTATCACAGCTTCTGCTATTGCAGATCGTGCTGCTGCTGCTATTACAGCTGCTGCTATCACAGCTGCTGCTATCACAGCTGCTGCTATTTCAGCTCGTGCTTCTGCTGCTATTGCTGCTGCTATCACAGCTGCTGCTATTTCAGCTCGTGCTGCTGCTGCTATTGCTGCTCTTACAGCTTCTGCTATTGCAGCTCGTGCTGCTGCTGCTATTGCTGCTGGTGCTATCACAGCTGCTGTTATTGCAGCTGGTGCTGTCGCTGCTATTGCTGCTGGTGCTATTACAGCCAGGGCTGTTTGATCGAATAGGCACAATAGGCACTGTGCCTAGGGCCTACGACAAAAACACATTTTGACCATGTTTTTGTTTGTATGATACATTTTTTTGTTACCAATATATCTTCTTGAATAGGTATGTGTTTTTTATGGCTGCTCGTTGCCATTTCTTTGCAGTGGTAAAAAGTCGTTCACTTGTAGGCGAGGCATATTTCACCTAAAATAAGAAACATCTTTCAGCTTAAACGAAATTAAAGCAATACGGTGGTCGCCACGTGGTCATTACCAGAACATTGAATTTGCTATCGATGAAAATGAACGGCATCCTTTTAAAGCTGCGCCATCCGATATGATAATCATAGGAAAACATTGTTGAAGAAATGTTCCCTCGTATATTTAGGCGTACCATTTTTTTCTCTCTCAATCATTTCAAATCAAATTTCGCTTATCTGCGGCACGCAGCGCGCGCTTTCCCGTCGAATCAGGGCACAGACTTAAACGATGAACGCATCAGCAGTAACGACATCTGTCCAGCGGCTGGACGAAGTACGCTTGAAACAAGCGAGTGACAGTGGCGGTAGGAGTGTAATGGGGCAGCAGCACCCTAGGGGCAGCAGTACCTACAAAAACAGAAGTGCCTCTGGCCTACAAGAACCTTAATCGGGCCCTCATTGCAGCTAGTGCTATTACAGTTGATGCTGGTGGGATTACAGCTGGTGCTGTTGTTGCTGCTGTTGCTATTACAGCTTCTGCTGCTGCTATCGCAGCTGGTGCTGCTACTGCTATTAAAGCTAGTGCTGGTGCTATTAAAGCTGGTGCTGTGATAGCACAGCTAGTGCTGCTATTACAGCTGGTGCTGCTATCACAGCTGGTGCTGCTATTATAGTTGGTGCTGGTGCTATAACAGCTGGTGCTATAACAGCTGGTGCTCTAACAGCTGGTGCTATAACAGCTGGTGTTGGTGCTATTACAGCTGGTGCTGGTTCTATCACAGCTGGTGCTATCACAGCTGGTGCTATCACAGCTGGTGCTGGTACTATCACAGCTGGTGCTATCACAGCTGGTGCTATCACAGCTGGTGCTGGTACTATCACAGCTGGTGCTATCACAGCTGGTGCTATCACAGCTGGTGCTGGTACTATCACAGCTGGTGCTATCACAGCTGGTGCTATCACAGCTAGTGCTGGTACTATCACAGCTGGTGCTATCACAGCTGGTGCTATCACAGCTAGTGCTGGTACTATCACAGCTGGTGCTGGTGCTATCACAGCTGGTACTATCACAGCTGGTACTATCACAGCTGGTGCTATCACAGCTAGTGCTGCTGTTGCTGCTGCTGCTGCCGCGTCTGGCCACCACCGCTCGCTAGGGGTCTACGGGGCAGGTGGCTCGGCCCCGCGCCGCCAGCGCCGCCGCCGCCGCCATGCCTCGGCGCCTCCTCGTCGCGGAAGTCGCCGTCGCCGAGGTCGATGCCTCTGAAGAGGACGTAGCGGAGCAGCGTGGGGGGCAGCGGCAGCTCCCCGAGGCGGGGCAGCGCCCCCGCGCGCCACGCCGCCCGCCGCACCGCCGCGCGGCTGCACTCGAGCAGCGAGCGCGGTCGGCCTGCGTTCGGCGTCGTTGGGGAGGGAGACGGAGGGACAGAGAGACACCGCGCGTGTGTGTGTGGCGGCGGCGGCGGCGTGGGATGTCAGCCGCACGCAGCTTCGTCGTCGTCATCATCAGCAGCAGAAGCATCAGCAGCAGAAGCATCAGCAGCAGAAGCATCAGCAGCAGAAGCATCAGCAGCTTCATCATTATCATCGGCAGAAGCATCGTCACCATCGTCATCAGCCAGCAGCAGCAGTAGCTTCATCGACATCAGCAGCAGTAGCAGCAGCTTCACGACGATCATCATGAGCAGCAAAATGAGTATTTGCCAGCAGCATTGTCATGAGCAGCAGCATTGATCAAGTGCTTGAACTGAAACAAAACATCTCAAGCTGCCACACGGCTACAGATGTATATACATCGTCCCCATTCTCATTCCCAAATCCGACGCCACGGAAATGTTTTAAATTCCACATTCCCATGGCCGGGTGGTGGAGCGGAGGTGGAGGTGGGGGGGGTGGAATCGTACATGCCGCTTGTCGCAGGAACTGCAGGCAGGGGCTGTCGGACCGCGCGCGCCGGGCGCACACGGAGAAGGGCGAGACTCCCGCGGCGTTGGGGGTCCCCGCGTGGGCTCCGTGGGCATGCAGGAGGCGTGAGCACGCCGCGTCGTCCCGCAGGGCGGCCACGTGGAGCGGCGTGAGGCCGTCGCAGGGCCGGCTCGCACGTGGGTCCGCGCCTCTCTATAAACACAAAGATCGGGCCCCCCCCCCCCACCCCCGTAGAGCCTTTAGCAGACTGTCGGGGCAAGTGCTGTTGGCGAGTAGCACCCGTGAAGGCCAATATTGCACACGACAGGGTGGGATGGCCAGCACCACGCCCGGCCGCTTTTGTCTCCCCAGTGCTGACGTTTTACACACATCGCACCAGGTGCTCATTTAAGGCTGAGTCGAGCTAGGGGAGGCCCAGGACCGGCAACAAATATTTAGCACTCTTGTTGGTCGCCGGGTTTGTAGCGCGGAGTGCTCACCACTGTGCCACCTCTGCCCACCACCAGCACGACGGCCATCTCCTCCACCACCACAGCCACTACCTCCTCCTCCTCCACTCCCACCGCTTCTCCAACCATCGCCACCACCACCACCACCTACCCCACCATCATTGCCACCACCTCCCCAATCATCGTCACCACCTCCCCCGCCATCACCACCACCACCACCACCATCGCCACCACCATCAACCACCCCCCGGTGAGCGTGGCACCTGCAGTAGGAGGCGGCAGATGGTGTCGCTGCCCCGGAGCACGGCGGAGAAGAGCGCCAGGTCGTGGTTGGCGCGGATGTCGGCGTGGCGCTCCAGCAGCGCACGTACGCAGCTCTCGCGCTCGCGCATCACGGCCAAGACGAGCGCGCTCAGCCCCTTCCCGTTCTGCGCGTCCACGTCCGCCTGCCGTGCCGTGTCGTCAAATAGCCTCTTCAACATCATCAACGTTTCATCATAAATAGCCGCACGGCCACCACCAGCACCGCCGTCTTCAACATCATCAACGTTTCATCATAAGTAGCCGCACGACCACCACCAGCACTGCCGTTTTCAACATCATCAACGTTTCATCATAAATAGCCGCACGACCACCACCAGCACTGCCGTCTTCAACATCATCAACATTTCATCATAAATAGTCGCACGACCACCACCAGCACTGTCGTCACCATGAAAAAAACCTTTCCACAGACACACACATGGACACGCAGACGTACCCCGAAGTTAAGCAGCAGTCGCAACACGTGCTCATGCCCGTAGCTGGCCGCCACGTGCAGTGGAGTCCATCCGTCTCTGCTGCGTGCGGCCACCAACCCCAGCCGCCGGTCCACCCCAGCTGATCCCGGTCCAGACCCCAGTGAGTCTGGGGGTTTCCCTGCGCCGCGAGCATCGATTCCCGACGGAATCGAAGTGATAATTTGGGTCTCCGATGGAGCCACGCGCTCTGGTTGGGCTTGCGATGGACATTCTTGATGTTGTTGGGCTTCTGATGGAGATTCGATCTCCGTGCGGGTCTCTGATGGAGCGTCGGCGATTAAGTGGGCTTCTGATGGAGTCTCGATCTCCGGCTGGGTCACTGGCGGTGGAGCCACACGAGTGAGGGCACTCCCCGCCACCGCCGGTGACGGTGGCTGCAGCAGGATCCGCGCCACCGTGCCGCGCCCACCCATGGCAGCGTAGTGCAACGCGGTAAAGCCACCTTCCTGATCGCCGTCCCACGGGTCAACTGGGGGGCCCACAGCGAGTCACGTGCCATCGATGAGGTGGTGGGGGGGGGGGAGCTGTGATTATAATTTTAATCGGCTTTTTCAATAACATTCTAGCGATGTCACCGGCATACTTATTGATCTGACGCTGGGATGACACTCTTTGGCAGTTCAGGACGGACAGTCTACAGTGAGGGAAAAAAGTATTTGATCCCCTACTAATTTTGTACGTTTGCCCACTGACAAAGAAATGATCAGTCTATAATTTTAATGGTAGGTTTATTTGAACAGTGAGAGACAGAATAACAACAAAAAAATCCAGAAAAACGCATGTCAAAAATGTTATAAATTGATTTGCATTTTAATGAGGGAAGTAAGTATTTGACCCCCTCTCAATCAGAAAGATTTCTGGCTCCCAGGTGTCTTTTATACAGGTAACGAGCTGAGATTAGGAGCACACTCTTAAAGGGAGTGCTCCTAATCTCAGCATGTTACCTGTATAAAAGACACCTGTCCACAGAAGCAATCAATCAATCAGATTCCAAACTCTCCACCATGGCCAAGACCAAAGAGCTATCCAAGGATGTCAGGGACACGATTGTAGACCTACACAAGGTTGGAATGGGCTACAAGACCATTGCCAAGCAGCTTGGTGAGAAGGTGACAACAGTCGGTGCGATTATTCGCAAATGGAAGAAACACAAAAGAACTGTCAATCTCCCTCAGCCTGGGGCTCCATGCAAGATCTCACCTCGTGGAGTTGCAATGATCATGAGAACGGTGAGGAATCAGCCCAGAACTACACGGGAGGATCTTGTCAACGATCTCAAGGCAGCTGGGACCATAGTCACCAAGAAAACAATTGGTAACACACTACGCCGTGAAGGACTGAAATCCTGCAGTGCCCGCAAGGTTCCCCTGCTCAAGAAAGCACATATACATGCCCGTCTGAAGTTTGCCAATGAACATCTAAATGATTCAGAGCACAACTGGGTGAAAGTGTTGTGGTCAGATGAGACCAAAATGGAGCTCTTTGGCATCAACTCAACTCGCCGTGTTTGGAGGAGGAGGAATGCTGCCTATGACCCCAAGAACACCATCCCCACCGTCAAACATGGAGGTGGAAACATTATGCTTTGGGGGTATTTTTCTGCTAAGGGGACAGGACAACTTCACCACATCAAAGGGACGATGAACGGGGTCATGTACCGTCAAATCTTGGGTGAGAACCTCCTTCCCTCAGCCAGGGCATTGAATATGGGTCGTGGATGGGTATTCCAGCATGACAATGACCCAAAACACACGGCCAAGGCAACAAAGGAGTGCCTCAAGAAGAAGCACATTAAGGTCCTGGAGTGGCCTAGCCAGTCTCCAGACCTTAATCCCATAGAAAATCTGTGGAGGGAGCTGAAGGTTCGAGTTGCCAAACGTCAGCCTCGAAACCTTAATGACTTGGAGAAGTATTACATATTCTTAGCTCTTTAGGTAAAGTCACGTTGAAGGGAAACAATAAAATAATAAAATATATATGAAACAATACAAATTCTCACGACGTTTCGACCATAACACAAACGGTCGTCATCAGGTGTGTCGGTCTGCATTAATTTATTTATTTTTTAACGGTGTATTTATTTATAAAAAAAACGTCAGCGCCATGCGCAGCGATTTGGCAGTTTATTTAGAAGGACTAGTCCATCTATGTTCTGAAAAGAGGAGGGGGGGGGGAGACAAAAAAATAATGTATGCTGTCTGAAAGCCACTGTAAGCGTGAACAATCAATTAAGACCTGAAATGGTTAATCAAATCTTTCCAATGATTGCTAAGCCAGAATCCATCTTCTTGGTTGAAATTGTCTCTGTGCTTGTATATGTGGATAGCCTCATGAACGAATCTCTCATGGTAGCCAGATGGCTTACAAAGAACCTCTGTCTTGGAAAAGTCAATGTCAAGTGAGCCTACTGAATTATAACAATGATCTGCCATGGCCGAGGTGTTGGTCCTACCGTGTTTAAGGTCTGCTTTGTGTTCACGAATGTGGTCCGAGACATGGCGTTTCGTTTCTCCAATGTAACTACTACCACAGAGGCAACTTAGTTTGTAGACACCAGGGTACTGTATGTCCGGAATCACATCTTTTGCAGACGGAACCAGATCACGGATTTTATGTAATGTGTTGAAACGGACCTGGATCTTGTGTTTATTCAAGATTGGAGATCTTTTTTGTGATCCCCGCAATGTAGGGTAAAGTGATGGTTTTGAAAGGCTCTTCAAGAGGGTCCTTCTTCATGGTTTGAGTGATAGCTTTGCGGATTGTATAGTCGGAGTAACCATTAGCCTTAAGAGCTTGGTGTACGTGCTTGAGTTCACTGCCTATGTGTTCCTGGTCGGATATGCATTGGGCTCTATGATACAGAGTCTTGATGAGAGAATTCTTCTGTGATGGATGGTGGTGGGAATCCGGTTTCAGATAAGCATCCGTATGGGTAGCTTTCCTGTAGACAGAGTGGCTCATTGAACCATCAGGTCTCTTTTTTATTAGGACATCCAAAAAAGTTAGCTTGAAAAGCTATCACTCAAACCATGAAGAAGGACCCTCTTGAAGAGCCTTTCAAAACCATCACTTTACCCTACATTGCGAGGATCACAAAAAAGATCTCCAAAATCTTGAATAAACACAAGATCCAGGTCCGTTTCAACACATTACATAAAATCCGTGATCTGGTTCCGTCTGTAAAAGATGTGATTCCGGACATACAGTACCCTGGTGTCTACAAACTAAGTTGCCTCTGTGGTAGTAGTTACATTGGAGAAACCAAACGCCATGTCTCGGACCGCATTCGTGAACACAAAGCAGACCTTAAACACGGTAGGACCAACACCTCGGCCGTGGCAGATCATTGTTATAATTCAGTAGGCTCACATGACATTGACTTTTCCAAGAGAGAGGTTCTTTGTAAGCCATCTGGCTACCATGAGAGGTTCGTTCATGAGGCTATCCACATATACAAGCACAGAGACAATTTCAACCGAGAAGATGGATTCTGGCTTAGCAATTATTGGAAAGATTTGATTAACCATTTCAGGTCTTAATTGATTGTTCACGCTTACAGTGGCTTTCAGACAGCATACATTAATTTTTCGTCTCCCCCCTCCTCTTTTCAGAACATAGATGGACTAGTCCTTCTAAATAAACTGCCAAATCGCTGCGCTGAAGTTTTTAAATAAATAAATGCACCGTTTAAAATAAATAAATTAATGCGGACCGACACACCTGATGACGACCGTTTGTGTTATGGTCGAAACGTCGTGAGAATTTGTATTGTTTTATATATATTTTATTTTATTGTTTCCCTTCAATGTGACTTTACCGAAAGAGCTAAGAATATGAATTACTGCAGTCACGAAAGCTTTAAATCAAGACTAGGAGAAGATCTGCAAAGAGGAGTGTGACAAAATCCCTCCTGAGATGTGTGCAAACCTGGTGGCCAACTACAAGAAACGTCTGACCTCTGTGATTTCCAACAAGGGTTTTGGAACCAAGTACTAAGTCATGTTTTGCAGAGGGGTCAAATACTTATTTCCCTCCTTAAAATGCAAATCAATTTATAACATTTTTAACGTGCGTTTTTCTGGATTTTTTCTTGTTATTCTGTCTCTCACTGTTCAAATAAATCTACCATTAAAATTATAGACTGATCATTTCTTTGTCAGTGGGCAAACATACAAAATCAGCAGGGGATCAAATACTTTTTTCCCTCCCCATGCCCACCTCCAGAGCTGATTGTCACAACTTGTTTAGTCACAGAACCCAGATTAAGTGAAAACACGCAATATGATGGGCTTTGTTTTGTGTGAGTGGGCTGAGTGAATTAACGCACTGCACTTGAGAACTCGGATTAAACATCACAGAGTGGCTAGACCTCGATTCGAACTCTGCTGGATATCAGCAGTGCCAGCTCATGTTCACTGCATGTAGTGTAGGATGCATACAGTAATTTAATTTCATAATTGCATCGCAGTGAATGTTATTCACCTTGCAAATGCGTTCACACGTGTTCGATTGCTCCTTTATCGTTATGATGCCGTTTTGTTGATTCATTGTCAAAATCTGTCGTGCCATTCCTATACCTCCTCCCGCCCAAGCAGGGGTGACCTTTGAGCTTACTAGCTCCTTCCCCCGGGATACGAAAAATATTGTTTTATTTAAGGAGAATACGGTACATATATTCTTGGTTCTTTCGGTAAAATCACGTATAAGGGAAACAAGAAAATAATAAAAATATAAAACAATAAAATTCTCACGACGTTTCGACTGCAACACAAGCAATCATCATCAGGTGTGAAAACCACAGAGAATACGGTAATTCCCTGCAATGTAAAAACACACTTTGGCACGCGACTCGCAGCCCCGGTGTTCCTGTGCACGGCACATGTCAATGGCATCTCTGACCTCCGTGTTGCAGGAGCAGCCGCACGCACCCCTCGCTCCCGCGCACCGTGGCGAGGTGAAGCAGCGTCCAGCCGTTGCGGTCACGCACCTGGGCCACCGTGGCCCAGCCGTGGGGCTTCCCCTGCAGGTCGGCATTGGCGACGGGAGCGGGAGCGGCCGTCGATCCGGGAGCCTCGTCCACGCTGGAGCCGATGATCTCCCGCAGCAACCGGCGAGCGGAGACCACGTCGTCGCACGCCACGGCGGCTCGCAAGCGCAGAACGCGCCCCGCGGTTGAGCGCTGGGCAAGGGGTGAGAGGGGGGGGGGGATTGGGGGTCGGGTGGTGGGGTCAGGGATCGTATCGTTATTTTTTTTTGTTACTGCTACTTTGTTTTTTTTAGTATTTTTTTTTCTTTGGGGAGGAAACCGGAGCACCCCAAGAGAACCCACACAAGTGAGGGGGCAACACTCTATCCCCGTACAAGTGGCGATTGGTCCACTTGCCGAGAGAGGATGACTCAAGAGGCGCAAGGAGGAACCACAAGACGAGTGGAAAAGGCAGCAACAGCCACACGATGAGCGGGCACTTCCAAGCTCTGCGGTCTTCTAAATATCAGGGTGTTATTGTCCAATCACTGAGCAATTTACATGTGGGAGGAAACCGGAGTGTCCGGAAAAACCCACGCATGCCAGGGGGAAACGCTCTATTCCAAACAGACGCGATAGGAGGAGTCCACATGTTTCTGCACCGCTTTCTCCTGGCGAGCTAGGGTATGGCACTTCGATGCCCGTGGGAAGGAAGTTTCACAACCGCTGTGCGATGAACCCCCCAACCCTCGCTGCTGCCTCCACAGTGCTGGATGACAGGCAGCCACATGCCCGGCTCGTCATCACCATCAGCAGCAGCATTGTTTATTGGGCTATTGTGGTCGGCAAAATGAGAAGTAACATGTCAACACCATCATCAATCAGAATATCACCTATATTAGAACCATAAGCAGCATATAGGAATAGGTTTTACCCTTTTAACTGGCACAAAAACTGACACCTTTATTCAAGGCATCATGTTTGCAATGACCACAACACAAGCAGTCAAAATGCAAACAAAAAAGACAACTCTCATAATAATATGCACTGTCCTTGAATTTGATTGGTCTACACCCGAGACAGCTTTTCTTAGAGCCTAGTCTCCATTGGTGTTGGACCAGAAAAACATAAGCAGCATAATTTTATTACCAGCATTCACAAGTGCTTTGTGAGGTTTTGGCAGTGCTGACCCATACCTGCCTTCACCCCCCCCCCCCACCGCTTCATCAACACTGACCAGTGCCGTGATGTCACATCCCCCATCACCAACGTGGCATGACAGGCCTTCATCCAGCAGTGGATCGGCAAAGTGTGATGTCATTGTTTCACTGATGCATACGTGTGTATTATGGTTGAAATTAGGATTTTGGATGGTTGAATTTTTTAAGGGAAATTTTGAAAATGTTTTTTGCATTTTCGAATAATTCACATTATGTACTAATGTAAGTCTCCGTGCTAACAAAAGTGACGTCACCCGGTCGCACGTGGCACCACTTTTTAATATGAAAATCACGCACGTGACGTCATGCAAGTAACAAAAAAATCGTCTCGGCCGATGTACGCTCCATAATTAGGACTAATCCGAATATCGGGAACACATCCCTCGTTTGCTGTGTGGGTTACCGCTCCACGCAAGGCTGGCTTCTCTCCTGCTCCCGATCGCTCGCTCAGTCTCTTGCATCTCTCCTCCACGCTTCCCATGCTGCCCCCTGCCTGCATCTCCAGACGTTGGGGCAAGAGGCAACATACTTCATCAAGACGCCAGTCTTATATTTGTAAGAGCCACCTTTGGGTTGCGGAAAGACACGTATGCATGTTGAACTTCCTTCGCACCGTACGTAGCCAACGGCGCTAATATGAACAAACTCAACACAAACATCAGCTCCAAATAAGTGTTGTGACCTGCAGGGTGGTGGCAGAGCACAGTGGATGCGACAAAACAGTGTCCGGTAGACCGAGTCCTCGACATGGGTTCGATGAATCTACCCGCAATGACCAGCGTGGTGAAGTATGGTCAAGGAACCCTGCATGACCCCCCCCCCCATCCTGGAGGCCCTCATCCAGCAGTGGACTGACAAAGGGCTGTACATGTACAGGAATATTTATGCATCAGTTAAGAGTAAAGTCTCGTGAAGTATTTTACTGCTTTTAACGTGACATTTCAGGTGAAAGTAGTGACAGTGCAAACGGAATGACATACATACCTTAAGGTCACAATCTGCTCTCAGAATTCGAAGTGCCCTCTGCTCGCCCTGTTACAGCCGTTGGTTTAGCAGACACAAGCATTACGCACGATCCATATTATGTCGAATGTGGTGGCTCACAAACTGGCAATATCCTTAACAATTTGATATCACTTCACGCCAACATCACGTACACAATTTTATATATATACAGCACACATATATAAACTCAACGAATACAACAAAACGGACTGCGCCACAGAGAGGCTCTGATGCTGGAACCAAAATAGACCGAGATGGAATATGGGTGGGTGGGTGGTGGTGAATGTTCAGCTGTTGGGCTGTTTGGCCGTGGAAGGGGATGGCTTCAGTGGTTACACAATATCATCCTTGGGAACAAACATCAGCGGGCGCAGGGGGTTGACACTCCCACCCGGCTCTCGTTACATGGCCGTGAATTTTTTCACAACAACAACCAACACCACCACCAACCAGTAGCAGTAGCCCAGCAACAACACGTGCCGCTATGGAAATGTTTTGATCCTGAAATAGCGGCGTCTAGCGGCTGGCACGTGAAACGTAGCCTATTAGACGTTTTAAAAACATTCTTAAAAAACTCAACACACTTCGTCAAAAACGTTGCCTTAAAATAATTTAAAACAACATAAATCACGACGTTTCGGCCACAACACAAGCGGCCTTCATCAGGTGAAGGGACCAATCTGTCCAGCGGACAGCGTTGGAGTGAAGAAAGCCAAGCGCTGGTCGCCTCCCTTTAAGCTGTGAGGGGCCAAACAGCAAACGCCCTGACAAAGGAAATTAGCATGAAACGCACCACTGGCAAAGCTTGGAATTACCACAAGATGATAATACACCACCCTGGGAGTTTGGAATACCACTACTAGAATAAATATACTGTACCATTGAAATTGCCCCCTCACAGCTTAACGTGACTTTACCTAATAAAACCAAAGAGTATGGATCCTTGCAGGCACGAAAGCTTCAAATCTAAATTTCAATGGTACAGTATATTTATTCTAGTAGTGGTATTCCAAACTCCCAGGGTGGTGTATTATCATCTTGTGCTATTTCCAAGCTTTTTCAGTGGTGCGTGTCATGCTAATTTCCTTTGTCAGGGCGTTTGCTGTTTGCCCCCTCACAGCTTAATGGGAGGCGACCAGCGCTTGGCTTTCTTCACTCCAACGCTGTCCGCTGGACAGGTTGGTCCCTTCACCTGATGAAGGCCGCTTGTGTTGTGGCCGAAACGTCGTGATTTTTGTTGTTTAATTTTTTTACCTACGTGACTTTACCGAATAGAACCAAAGAGTATGGATCCTTGCAGTCACGAAAGCTTCAAATCTAGAATTAAAATAATTTAAGAGGTATATACTGTATATGATAGGTGACGTTTCGGACAACGGTCCTACTTCATAGTGCATCAACAGAGAGCCCAAAGAGTGGGTAAGTTGGAGACTGCACTTGTTAACACCATGGGGCCTGATGAGAATTACATTCCAGACGTGTTTTGATGACCAGTTTTTACATACGTAATGACAGGCTGACACCTGCCGGTCTGTCGGGGTAATTACGGTCATAGCTGCATTACATAATGCTTTATTATGAAGGGGCGTATCTGGGGTAAAGGTCAAGGGCGGAGTCAGTCGAGAAGCTCCGGGAACCAACCCGAAGGTTCTGGAAAGGGGGCGTGGCCAGAGGTGGAGCTTGGCCACGCCAGGCAGATATAAGGAGCACCGAACCAGAGCTTCGGGGCTGTTTGTGTGGGGTCTGGGTCCTGGATGTGTCTCTGACGTCATCTCTTCGTCTTCGACCACGTGGCTGTTCTTCTCCAAGAGCAGCTCCGTCGCTGCCGCTACGCTCGTCAACCAGCCAGCGTAGCGCAGGATGGAGACGGGCTGCGTGGGTTGGACAGCCTGGGTGCGGCCGCGTTACGAAGTGTATCGCCCCTTGTGCTCTTAATAAGAAGCCTTCTACTAGACGTGTGTCGGAAGTCGCTCATTACACATATGAACGTGAACAGTGACCTAATATAAGCTACTGGTTAACAAACCCTTCAAGAATCAAAAAAGCATTGCTAAATAAAACATGTGGTTATTTTACCTTTAACATAAATGCGTTTATTTAGTAACTAGCCTTTTGCCCGTCCAAGGACGGGTGTGTTGCAGTAAATCTGAAGCTTGCAAGCGAAAAGCAGATCGCGACGTGATATTCATGGCATTAATGCGTGTGCAATTTGTAAGGCCGCGGTGACACATACCTATTTAATTTAAAGGTTATAATCCCTTGTTCATCATGACGTCCTTTTTACTTCGATGTCTCAACAACAGCGTTACGGAGATCACGTGACGTGAGGGTTCTGCCTTTGTAGTGAGGGTTGTGAGTTGACGCTGAAGAGGGGGGAGGAGGCGCCTCGCCCCCCCATGTGGAGTGACGTCACCCACTAATCATTAATGGAGGGGGTGTCCATTTGGAGATGTCACCTGTTCATGATTATTAATGAGGGGGGGCTGTTCGATGTGGAGTGACGTCACTTGCTCATGATTGGGGGGGAGTACTCCATATTGAGTGACGTCACCTGCTCATGATTATGAATGATGGGCGTGGGAGGGTGTCCATTTGGAGGACGTCACCTGCTCATGAATATTAATGAGGGGGGATGATCGATGTGGAATGACGTCACGAGCGTTAAGGACATTCCTGGGTGATTTTATAAGGTATACTTCGATGACTGCGTGATTTGTGTTAGTTACGCTTGTGCACCACTGTGAATGATAAATAATGATTTTTACACCGGAATAGAGAGGGTTCCTCGCCTACAAACATCTGACTTCAGGTGCTGATGATGAGACACGGAATGTCGAAACCGGTCCAGAGTTGACTTCCACTGACATGATGCGACCGATGAGATGCACTCTCAAGACACCGGGACATGTGGCTGATGTCACGCGGAAATAAATACCCTACTTATATTTGTGTGTGGAGGGACAACAGATATGGATGTCCATAATGTAGGGTTTTGTTTTGTTAGATCGCGTAAATATAAATGTCGTTAAACCCGCCACCATCCGACAGCCAACTAGTAAGGTTTGTCACGTAAACAGAACGTCCCAATTCGTTACTAGTACAGCACACCGGTGTGTTAGAGAGCAAAATTTACACATTTACAACATTGTGGATTTGCTATCCAACATACTGGTGTGCTGTACGAGTAACGAATTGGCATGCTTTCTTTACGGGACAAATCTTATTAATTGGCTGTGTCGGGTGGTGGCGGGTTTAACGACACATTTATATTTACGTGATCTAACTCAGAAAAACTTGTATTATGGATATTGGTCGCGAAAGCCTACGTGTTAAGGGGCCGTCCATAAATGACGTCACGTGATTTTGGACGATTTTTGACCCCCCCCCATCGTCACACGGCGTCACAAAAAGTCAGACCCCCCCCTCAAATATGACGTCACAAAGCTTTGCCCCCCCACAAAAAATAAAACATGCTTCAAATCGCTTTAAACTATTGTCATTGTAGGGCGTATTTAATGTGGCGCTGCACTTTGATGTTGTAGGAGAAAACATTTATTAAAAAGTATATTTAAATAAGTAGAACGTGTTGTCTATATTTAAAGTTGCGCATTTTGATGTGACGTCATATTTCTAACCCCCCCCCCCCTCGTCACACATCGTCACAAATGTCTGACCCCCCCCCCCCAGGTCCGTGACGTCATTTATGGACGGCCCCTAAACAGATGTGGATGTATACTCTTTGGTTCTATTGGGTAAAGTCACGTAGGTGAAAATAAAATAACAAAAAATCACGACGTTTCGGCCACAACACAAGCGGCCTTCATCAGGTGAAGGGACGAGACTGTCTGGAGGACAGCGCTGGAGTGGAAGAAGCCACGTTCAGATCACGACCTTTAAGCTGTGTGAGAAGAAAAACACCAAGCGCCTTGACAAAGGAATTAGCATATAATTTAGCATTGAAATGGCTCATTGAAATAGCTAAGTTAAAGTATACACATCCGCAGAGGTACCCCTTGACAAAGGAATTAGCATAGAATTTAGCATTGAAATAGCTGAGTGATTAGCTTGTAACTGGTCACAGAAATAGCTATGTTAAAGTCAGAGCATATACATTCACCGAGGCACCTAGTACAAATCAAACAGGAGAATTTAGCGAAACACAACCACGCTCAGACAGCGAACCTTTAAACTGTGTGCGAGCAAACAAGGTGTTCTGACAAAGAAATTAGCATAAAAATTAGCATTTGATTGGCCGATTTTAGGAAAGAGGTGGTGTACGTGCCGGTGGACTTGCCGTTTGGCGCGGGGGGAGGGGGAGTTTACCTATTGATGGTGTGAAAAGGGAATTTATAAGAGCTGCGAAAGTTTGGGGAACCACTACTTGAAAAAATATAAATAATATAAAAATATATTTTTTCAAGTAGTGGTTCCCCAAACTTTCGCAGCTTTTATAAATTCCCTTTTCACACCATCAATAGGTAAACTCCCCCTCCCCCCCCCCCCCCCCCCCCCGCGCCAAACGGCAAGTCCACCGGCACGTACACCACCTCTTTCCTAAAATCGGCCAATCAAATGCTAATTTTTATGCTAATTTCTTTGTCAGAACACCTTGTTTGCTCACACACAGTTTAAAGGTCCGCTGTCTGAGCGTGGTTGTGTTTCGCTAAATTCTCCTGTTTGATTTGTACTAGGTGCCTCGGTGAATGTATATGCTCTGACTTTAACATAGCTATTTCTGTGACCAGTTACAAGCTAATCACTCAGCTATTTCAATGCTAAATTCTATGCTAATTCCTTTGTCAAGGGGTACCTCTGCGGATGTGTATACTTTAACTTAGCTATTTCAATGAGCCATTTCAATGCTAAATTATATGCTAATTCCTTTGTCAAGGCGCTTTGTTTTCTTCTCACACAGCTTAAAGGTCGTGATCTAAGCGTGGCTTCTCTCACTCCAGCGCTGTCCTCCAGACAGTCTCGTCCCTTCACCTGATGAAGGTCGCTTGTGTTGTGGCCGAAACGTCGTGATTTTTTGTTATTTTATTTTCACCTACGTGACTTTACCCAATAGAACCAAAGAGTATGGATTCTAGCAGTCACGAAAGCTTTAAATCTAGAATAGATGTGGATGTGCTAATCGCACACAGGCGGTTTGAAGATTTGATGATCGATATTAATTTGAGAATCGATATTTACAAATTTACCGGATTATAAGACGCATCACCTCTCCGATATGTCATAAGCAACAGTTGGGGGGAGGTGTGCGTCTTACACTCCGGTACGTTCTAGATTTGAAGTTTTCGTGACTGTGATGATTTTTGGCTCTTTCGGTAAAGTCACGTAGGTAAAAATAAAGTTAATGAAATCGCGACGTTTCGGAGGCAACACAAGCTTCCGTCATCAGGTGGCAACAGTCACAGCAGAATTACTG